ACTAAATTTTCTTTATGCTCTTTTCACGATTGAAATTCTCTCACACAATGTCTTCTGTCCTCCCGATTCTTAATTAGCTAGGCGTGCAAACAAGACTTCACGCCAAATCTGTGACGTAGCAACTGGTCATTGGTTAGACTTACTCATCCATATTCATCAGAAATTGTAAGATTTTCAGCAAACTACATCGTCTGCCAGAAGGTGAAGACGTGTCGTCCATTTGTGTCGAAGATAAAATTATATTTTGAGGAGATAAGACGCTTGGCTTGTGAAGAATAGCAACAGAAAGCAATGCCATGTTATTATGTCACCAGGTGAGTATTTCTTTGGAAGATATTGCCTTTAAAATCCTTCACAAAGCATAGCAAGTGTCGACATCTTTTCCAAAGAAGTTAGTACGTGTCAGTTGTTTCCTTGAACGGTTACACATCACGAAGCTCGATTGAATAAGGTGTCGGCCGCTAAAGATACAGAACCTGTGGTTCTAGTAACCTATGTTGGGAATATATTTCTGTGTTTCTTTCGAACGCTGAAATAAATGTTATGTTCGTTCGTCATTCTGCAGTTGTTCGCGGCCACGTGGAGCTGCAAAGACTTATTCCCCAAATCTCATCCCCGCAGAAATTGGTACATCAAGAAAATAATGCAAAATATAGATTTCAAAGTCCTTTAGATTGCATGTCGTTCTGAGCAAAATTTTTAACTCTTAAGCAGTCCCTGATCACGTTCATAATTAATATCTTCAGAGAGAGGAATGGTGTGAGAAGTATTGGAGGATGAAGAATCTGGACCAGAGGAGACAATGGAATCATTGGACAAAAGGAAGATACCACAAAGATAAGAAGTTTTATATAATTTTGTAACAGTAGCAAAAATGGTGGCCCTCTAAACCTTTCTATATTGTAAGAAGACTTGTGTCTTCCGCCAGATGTCTTTTGAGTTATCTTGGACGAGGAAATGCCTGGAATAGAATAAGTTACTTGGTAAGTGAATAGCTTTCGACGGGCCACCATTTTTGGAGTCGTTTGTTGTGGTGCAGATTGTTAAGCAGACTGTGAGAGATCTCTCAGTTCATTTCGACTAAGCTTACTAAAATTTGGTAGAATTCATCTCAAAGAAATTCTTTAAATCGCAAAAATATGAGCAACTGGACATCGATATAAACTTGGCTTCAGAAAAATAAAACTAAAATTGTTGATTTCCTCGAATGACTGATTGTAGAACATTTCTTGGTTGTTTAACAGTTAGTACCACAGCATCAGTTAAGATGGCACTGTATCCGGAAGACCTTAGACAAAGACCAAATGAAGTTCCAAAATTCGAATTGCGGAATAAACGGAGTTAATTACTTTTTCTTTTTTTTAAGAACGACATTTGTTGCCGAACACTATCGACTTAAACACAATCCTAATGACTGGAGCTCTGCGAAGGTTTGAACTTACAGCATGACCTTGTTCACAACAACTGACGTAAGAAAGCTAGGTTCTGACTTAGAACAGACTCCAGTAAAATTTCCGCACAGCCCCTCCTACATTATACATTCAGTTCTTGAACAGAGAAAACAATGACAAAAACAATACATTGCCATTGGGAAAACAGATTTGTTTTACAATAGTATGGGGCTGTGCGGAATTTTTACCCAGATTCCTTTAAACAGGTGACAAAACCTTACAACCCTCGTCAAATGACTTCATCGCAACAGACCATACAGAACAGTCTACTGAATTTACCGAAAGATCGGAAATATTAACTAGGAAGAATTCTCAGATACTGCTTGAACCTGAACCTGAAAGCCAAAAGAATCACAACAAAACTTAGCAATCGGTTTCACGAACCAAACTAATAACATTTAACTGTTACACCGACCTCTTTACTTGACTGTGACTTTCGATCAAACCGTCAAAACTCGTTGGGATCGACTAAAGCTTCATTCGGACGATTACCCAACACAACAGGCTACAAATAATACATAGAGGCAATGTAAAACTTTAGAAATGATTGAAAAAAAAGTTATAGAAGCGAACACTTTATTTTCTGCAAGAACTGAGCTAAAGAAGAAATTACACAACTTTTGCCGTGCAATGAAACAGAAAACTAGTACAGTGCCATCTTAATTAGCTTTTAATCACTTTATCCCGTCGACTGAGGTCGGTATTTATCTTTAAGTTCTATTTTAAACTCTAATGCCTGGTCAAGAGTCCTTTTGAACATCGTTAAATTCGGAGTGTGTCGTTATATCAAACAATTGTTGACAAAGAATTTAGTCTTCCAAGGTTCGATGAGATTTCTGTTCGTAGGGATGAAAATGGACTTTATTTGACCTAAAAGATGATGGTGAATTGTCTCAAAATTCGCAAAAAATATTCAAATTGGATAAAAAGCAAATGAAAATGGAAAAGAATAGCACATTGTCTTGTTTTGTTGATGTTTTTAAAGGTGCTAAAGAGAATGCGACTTTTTGTTTAGGGTTTATCAACATCAGGTTTTCAATATCTTACAACACCGTGTAAATGATAAATGACATTTGCAGATGTAGTAACGTGTTGATTGCTGAAAGAATTAAATAACAAATTCTGCATATGTTGCAAAATGCGGAACACTTTAAGAAAAAATCTCTCTTTTTTATTTCAAATTTATACACACAGTTGAATTTCGATAAAATTTCACATTATGGCGACGAAAGGTGAAATTTAAGAAAAAGTTTATATATATTCGCTCATCATGAATATAAAGTTTTAGAAAGAAGGCGCGTTGATTTTTCACGAAATATTAACAAAATGCAAATCAGTTAATTCAACAGTTTTGTTAAATAAATCAGTTTTGCTGTAAGCTCTGGTTAAAACCTTTCACCATATCTATCACTGAGAATAACGAAATTTAAGATTTGAAGAATGGGGCGAGAAAACCTGTTAATTGTCTGTACATTGTTGACTTTGCAACCAGAGTCTCTCGAATCAAATGATTTTTATAGAAAA